CTTCAAATATTGTTATTATATTGTATCTCTAATTCACAGTTCAAATATCATCTGCAAGAACAATTCACAGCAATAATGTATTGGGTATTGAAACAAAATATAGGATCGAGTAAATAAAGTATAAATTGCACAGTGCCACAGGGAGTTGAGCAACTCCTAACACTTGAATAATGTATGTACTGGTATATTGGTGAATCAAGAATGTGATTGGTGCCAAGCTATCTTTCTGGAAAGAATGTTCTAGTTTTCCGGATTACAAAAAAAATAGAAACCTCCTCCCTGGATTTAGGGGAGAGCAGGCGGGGCTACTTTCCCGGGANTTTGGGAAAGAATGGTTTTGGCTTTCTACTTCTCAATCTTTATGAAATTGCTTCCCTCCTTTCTTTGGAAGTTCCTCACATCTGACAATTTCCAAAATGAATTCTTTGAACTTAAATCTACAGTGTATTTCTTTAATTCCCCTCCCTTTTATTTTTTGAACAGGTCAATTCAAAAAGTTGAAATTTGGGATAATGAAATTAATGCATGAATACTTTATTTTGAAGTGAAATTGACAGATGAAACTTTCAAGATGGCGACTGGGAGCCATCTGGAGAAAAAAATGAACGGAAAGGAGGGTCTTACGACACATCATTTTGAAGCTCCTAACTAACACTTCGCAACCCTAGAAAATGAAGTCAACATCTTCACCTACTATAAACTGGCGGGACATTTTATAATTTTCTGAAAACAAACACATTGATATCGATATTTAAAGGAATATTCGTTTTTATTTGCCATATGGCAACTCCAACAACCCGATAAGGTTTGTTAAGTTATTTTTCATTTATAAAAATGACAAAAAATGTCAGTACGACAATAAACATCATTGTTCAGTTAGAATATTCTCATTTAGTTTTCAGTTCAGTTTCTATTGGCAATTACACTTCAGATAGTATTGAAGTTCATCATGGGGTTCCCCAGGAAAGTCACTGTGGCCCCCTACTTTTCAACCTATTTGTGAATGACATTACCCTAAGTATTGAGTATTCTCAAATTCTACTATCAGCTGACGATTCAAAAATATTTAAAGTTATTGAAAATGAAATTAATTGTCATCAACTTCAGAGTGATATCAATAACCTTGTACATTGGTGCAATTCCAATGGAATGGATCCAAACCTCAATAAATGCTTTCTTATAAATCACAATAGAAATCATCCTTCCATAGACTTATCATACTCTATCAATTCATTAGACCTAGAACGGATATCTCAAATAAAAGACTTGGGGGTTTTATTGGATGATAAACTATCGTTTTCTCAGCACATTATAAAGATCTTCCTGAAAGCACGCAAGATGCTAGGTTACATCAAGAGAGTATCCAGAGACCTTTCAGTCAATGCCTTTAAAGTTCTCTACTGTGCATTTGTCCGTTCAGTCTTGGAATATGCGTCGGTGGTATGGAACCCTCACTATAAAACTTATATTAATATGCTGGAAACGGTTCAACACAAATTTTTAAGATCTTCTGCATTCAAATTAGGAATCCATGTAGACAAATATGACTATGATTATCCAGCCCTATGTTCATCTTTGAACATAACTACTCTGGTGAACAGAAGAATAGAAATTGGCTTATGCTTTCTGTTCAAGTTGCTAGCTGGTGAAGTTCATTCACCAGATCTCTTGTCTCACATTGATTTTAAAATTAATACCTCTGGTACTAGGTCAAATCACACCTTTCATAATAAACACCATTACCGTAACTATGGATTCCACAGCCCTTTATAAACAATGGTAATTATTATGTAGTTAATTATTAAAATTATTAAAAGCTCCGCCATTTTGTAGTAGTTGAAGAAATTGACAATATATTCTAGGGTAGTGAAGCATTTGTCAGTAGCTTCAAAAAGATGTATCACAAGACTCCCCTTTTCAATCATTTTTTCCCAGATGGCGCCCAGTCGCCATCTTGAAAGTTTCATCTGTCAATTTTACTTCAAATAATGTATTCATGCATTGATTTCATTCTCTCAAATTTCAATTTTTTGAGTTGACCCGTTCAAAAGATAAAAGGGGGGGGACATTAAAGAAAAGCACTGTAGGTACACTATGATATCTTCGACAAAAATTAAGGATACAAATATAAGCGGGTAAACACAAAGTGAAATAAATTAAAATTTTGCGTCTATTATTCGACGAGCTGCAAAAATTATTCAGCAATAGTAATAATCTACACTAAATAATGAACTTGCTGAGAGTCAACAAATCATTCAGCATAGCGGAAGAGAAAAAGTTGTGCAAATGATTTCCATCGAAAATACAGCCTGAAGATGTTGCAATTTATAATAAAGATCAACACAAGAAGGTTATGAAAATTGCATGCATTTGATGTATTGTCGAAAAAATTTTAAAATCAGGGGAATGTCAACAATCCATCAGCCTGAAACTGGATGTAAGAAGAATTTAGATCCCAATATCAGAACAATCAAGTTTCTTGAAATTCATCTGTGCTGACAAAAAGGTGGAATATTAATTTTTATTCAATATCTCATCAAAACTCCCATCCAGAAAAAGTAATAAATAACCCGCAATGTGTCGATAAAATTCAACAAACATTGATGTTTCAAAGTCACACCAACAAATAGATCCTATATAATATTTGAACTAGATTTTTTTCTGTAACTTCATCAACTTAGAAGAAAGTCAGAGAATTCAGTTGGGTTTTTACGTTGACATCATTTTCTACAGTTTCATTTACTTCATCTTGCTTATTCAAACTAGTGAACAAAAAATTTGTGAACAACACATTGGTTTAACAAACAAGTCAAAAAACCCTAAATCAATCAATTCACCATGTGAAAAATTTCTTCAATTTTCGTGAAGCAATATTGACTATTAGGAACACTCGTAAATTCTTTTGTCGCATTAACATATGATGCATATGATGTGAAATAAGTGGATATTAATATTGTATTCAAAAAATGGGTAATTTCAAATAAGGTGAAAAGCCGAAAGTACTGAATACTCGAAATTAAATTACAAATCTCTCCAGAATTCGAGAATTGATAAAAATATAAATCCCCAGTCTGGATAAGAAAATTACTCGTGTAACGACAAATTTTATTGAAAATATAGAAAATCTGTTTATAAGAATATATATAAATATATAGTATATTTTCTATTGGCAATTAC